TATAAACCCTATAAGACATAAAATTGAATGAGTTTTTAACCTTTAAAAAAGATCTCCATTTCATTTTAAAATATACTGTTTCTTTCAGAAAGACTCATTGTTTTTGCTAGTAACACTTAGATGTTGGCACATGTGTCCCTAATCTGTATGTATCTGATTATTACTAGTCATAGTCAGTTGTACTTGGATCCTTGGCACCTGTGTATGGATATAAAGTCCATGCAGCCGACAGTAGCAAGGATGACAAAGTATAAGGGCTCTAGCTGGGGTGGGGGGTGCCATCTGGGAAGTGGGTGTATAGATGAATAAGATGGTTTGGGATGTTCTGTGATATACACACACAAAAATCAACAAATTAAAAAAATGATTTATATTTGAGGAGGAAGCATAAAAATTTACGTCATGTTAATTAGTAGAGGTGATAAACATTATACCATTGAAATCTACCCGATGAAGAAACTTTTAATTTTCTTTATAATACATGTTATAAAGAAACTTTTTTTTAATATCACATATCCACTGTTCATATTTCCCTGATTACCTTAGATTTTTCATTTTCTTTGTTTTCATTTAGTTCAGGTTTGAATCTAAGGTCACATATTACTTTATTAAATTTTTAAAAAAACATTTTTTTCATTATTTTTAGTTTTTCTGTATGAGCATACTGCCTTCATGTATGTAAGTACACCCGTGTCAAGCAGTGCACAGAGAGATCAGAAGAGGGAATTAGGTTCCCCTGGAACTAGAGTTACAAACGGTTGTTAGCTGCCATATAGATGCTGGGAATCAAATCCAGGTCCTCTGCAAGAGCAGCCAGTGCTCTTAACCACTGAGCCCTCTCTCCAGCCCTAACTTTATTAAAATTTTATTATGGGGGGTTATGGTGTGGATGTAAATGCACCATAGAGTTTGGAGGTCAAAGAATAATTTTGTGGAGTTGGTTCTCCCCTTCACTGTTTTGTTGGTTCTGGCAATTGAATGCAGCCTTTCTGGCCCATGTGCTTGACGAGTGCTTTACTCACTGAGCCACACCGTTCCCACTGGCCTCGCACACCGCATTTGGTTAATATGTCTCACTTTTATTTGTTAAATTTTGTTTTATTTAATTTTTGAGACAGGGTCTCCCTGTAGCTCTAGCTGGCCTGAACACTATGTAGACCAGGCTGGCCTCAGTCTCAGAGATCTGCCTGCCTCTGCCTCTTGAGTGCTGGGACTAAAGGTGTATGCCATCATGCCCAGCTATTTTATTATTGTAAAATTTTGTTTATCTGTGTGTGGCATGTGTATATGCATGTGAGTATAGCCATCCAGGGAGACTAGCAGCATGAGATCCCCTGAGGGCAGGATTTACAGGCAGTTGTGAACCATCTGATCGGGGGTCCTGGGAACTGAACTCAGGTCCTCTGTAAGAGGCTGAAAGTTTGAATGGCTGTGCATGGCTAATTATGGAACTTTGATTTTTGTATGTTTGTTTATCGTACTGGCCTTTGTGTGATGAGTCGTTCAGGGCTTACTTTACAGGGCCATTAGTCATCATAGTCTCCTTGTTTCTACAGTGACAAGACATTCCAAGTGTATCTTATATATGTCCTTCCCAAATTGAGAACTAGCCATTTCTCCAAGGAATCTTGCTTCTTTTAGTGACAGAGGCACCAGGCCTACAGTGTTAGGTTTTCCCTTGTAGTCTTTGCTAGTGGATAAGTACAGAAAAAAAATTTAAGCCGAAGTGTGTTGTGAGTTTGGGCTGGTAGTTCAAATGTAAATTTATGATTACATGATACTTACTTTTTTGTTTATTATTTATTCTGATCCCACTGTCTTGCTGTGTAGCTTAGGCTTACCTCAAATCTGCCATCCTCCCACCTGGGAGCACAGGCATGTACCACCTCACCTAGCTAGGTATTCACAGTTTTGATTTTATGCTTGTGTTACTTCTCAGTGCTGAAAATATTGGCTCTGGAATAGAAATACCAGCATCCTTGCCAACAATATGATTACTACAAAGACATTAAGAGTTCTTTCAGTTTTTGTCATTTGGATATATTCTATTAGGAAATGGATAGTCAAATTATTGTGTGGGCTGGGTGTGGTGGTGCATACCTTTAATCCCAGCACTCGGGAAGCAGAGGCAAGTGGATCTCTGTGAATTTGAGACCAGCCTGATTTACATAGTGAGTTCCAGGCCAGCTGGTGCCACAGGGAGACCCTGTCTCAAAAAGACCAAAAAAAAAAAAATTGTGATAAAATTGCTATAATTCTTCTGTTTATACTGAATTCATTACACTTAGGCTCATTTGTTTCAGTTTCCTTTTGTTTTTAGCAATTGCACTTAGATTTTATAGTGATAGAATCAGTTTGGCATTTCTTTTGTAGTATCTGTTGATGGGTAAAATACAGGGTATGAGAGAGAACAGTCAGGACAACTCTTAAGCTTTAGGCATAATGAGATCGAGTTACCATTAACTGAGAACGGGAAGGCTTGGGGAAGGATCAAGAGTTTGGCTGTGGATCTGGAGAGATGCTTAGTAGTGAAGAGCACTGGTTGCTCTTGCAGAGGACCGGGGTTTGGGCCCAGCTCACACATGGTAACTAACAACTGTCTATGACTCCAGTTCCAGGGGATCTGATGCCCTCTTCTGACTTCTGAGGTACACTTACATACATGCAGGCAAAACACTCATACACATAAGATAGAAAAAATTCTCCCCAGAAAGAGTTTTGTTATGGACCCCGTGTGGATATTGCATGCCTTTAATCCCAGCACTCAAGAGACGGAGGCAGGTGGATCTCTGTGAGTTTGAGGCCAGTTTAGTCTACATAGTGAGCTCTGGGCCAGCCAGGGTTGTATAGTGAGACTCTGCCTCAAAAAAAAAACAAAAAGAAAACAATCCAAAAATGAGTTTGGTTATGGATGTATAAAGTTTGAAATACCTAGTGAACGTCTAAGTGGGATGTCAAATAGAAAGTTACTGTGTAGGGCTGTTACATTGGTGTTAGGGCTAGAAGTAGTTATTTGGGAGTTTCTACTATATAGAGGATATTAATTTAGATTTTTCTATTTATATTTCTATGTGTGTGCAGGTGTGCATGCACGTGGAGGTTAGGACAGCTTCGTGGAGTCAATTCTCTCCTTCCACCTGTACATAGGTTCTGGGAATCAAACTCAGGCTTATAGGGCAAGTGCCATCTTGCTGCTTCTATTATTTACTTTTTTCAAGTTAGATTTTATATATAGTGAAGTATACAGGTAGCAAGGGTATGGTTTGATGACATTGAAAAAAATATATTCTATACGTATATATGTATGTCTGACTGTATGTATACCTTGTACATGCAGGTGCCCATAGACACCAGAAGTTCCCTGGAGCTGGAGTTATAAGCAATAAGCTGGGAACTGAACTCAGGTCCTCTGCAAGAGCAATAAGTGGTCTTAAGCACTGAACCAGCTCTCTTGCCCCCAGTTTGATAACTTTCAACAAACGTATGTACGTGTGTAATATCCCAGTCAAGTATAGAGGAATTCTGTTGCTCCTCAAAGTTTCCCTTTCTAGTATTCTGTTCCTCAGAGGCAACCATTGTTCTACCTATATCAAGTACAATTTAGTTTCACCTTTTGTAGATGGTCTTTTAAAACATGCAGCTGGATGAGATCACTGGGGTGTAATGTAGATGGAGGAAAGAAGAGCCCAAACCTGAGTCCTGGAGATCCAGGGACCCAAGGAGTTGTTGGGATGAATCAACAAGGGGACTGAAGAGAGGTGGCCTGGGAAAGGATAAGAGCCAGATGGAGTGGAGCCTTGAGAAGCCAGTGAGAAAGTGTTTAAAATGAGGAAGGATCAGGGATGGAGAGATGGCTCAGCTGTTAAGAGCAGTGACTGTTCTTACAGAGGACTGGGGTTTGATTTCCAGTACCCACATGGTGGCTAACAACTATCCATAACTCCAGTTGCAGGGAATCCAATGCCCTCTTCTGACCTCCGCAGGCATTGCACGACACGGGTGCCCTTTATATACATGCAGGCAATACACTCATACACATAAAATAAAAAATAATAATATATATTTTTTTAACTGAGGAAGGAACAAACCATGCCAAAGTCTGCAGGAGGTCTGAGAGACTGCACATTCATCTAGGTTCAACAGAAGGTGATTGTGGTGACCTCCATGAAAGCTGCTTTGGTGAAGCGATGTGACTGGGATGCTTGATGAGGATGTATTTGAGTGACTGGGATGAGAGAGACAGCAAGAATTTAGGCAGCCATTTTGAGGAGCAGAGGAATGGGGTGGTAGCTGGGAGGGAGAGAATGGATTTTTTTGTTCAATCATTTGAGAGAGAGAGAGAGAGAGAGAGAGAGAGAGAGAGAGAGAGAGCGCACATCCAATACAATAAGTGGAAGAGGAGTAAGAGGGAATTGATATCCCTGACTTGGCAGAAGGTATGGAATCCTTGAGTTCAGGGGAGGGACTAACCTGAGAGGTTCATCTGTCATAATGGGAGCTGAAAGCAAGCAAAACCTCTTTTTGGTTATTTCCATTTCTCTACAAGGTAGGAAGCTTAGAGAGGTAGAGAGGAGGAGTTGTTGAGTTGAGGTGAAATTTGAACAGAAAGAACTAGCACATCATTACTTCTTCTGATTCATTGCTGCTTTACCTCTGTGGAGACTGGCTTGATAAATTTACCTGATCAGCCTGTTAAAAGTATAGTTTTAATTACAGTTTTAAAAAGTTCTAAGTGAGTGTTTTAGAGTTCTGCTTATTTCTCTTAGTTTAATGGGATTAAACCTGTCAATTGCAGATTTAAAAATCTTACTTAAAAAGTTTCTTAAAAATATTTTTCAGCCGGGTGTGGTGGAGCACGCCTTTAATCCCAGCACTCAGGAGGCAGAGGCAGGAGGATCTCTGTGAGTTCAAGGCCAGCCTGGTCTACATAGTAAGTTCTATGACAGCTGGGACTACAAGGAGACCCTGTCTCAAAAAGACCAAAAAAAATTTTTTTTTTCAAATTCAAGCAAACAGCAATTTTTCGAAGTATTTTATTTATTATTTTTATTTTTGTGTGTATGAATGTATTGCCTGTATGTATGTAAATGCACCTATGTCATGCAGTGCCCACGGAGGTCAGAAGAGGCTATCAGATACCCTGGAACTGGAGTTACAGATGGTTGTTAGCTGCCATGTTGGTGCTGGGAATCAAACCCAGGTCCTCTGCAAGAGCAGCCAGTGTGTTCTTAACCACTGAACCATCTCTTTAGCCTTGACTTATTTAAAAAAGTTTAAACATCAACAGTTTCTAATATTTAGGGAGTGAAAAAGTACAATGCCCCGTCATGTACTTAGCATCTAACTACCACTTGATTGATACTCAGGTTAATTTAGAGGACTGAATGATCTTTGAGGGAATATGGAACTGTCTTTATTCACTAATAAATTAAGAGCTGAAGATTCTGATTTGATAATAATTTAATTTGAATCCCTTCAATCATTATTTTATTCACTCATTCATGCAACAAATTTTATTGAGTATGTGATGTGTTCATTAGTGCCTCCATCAGTGCAAATCCAGCCCTGGTGTTAGCTGGCTGCATGGGCTAGGCCTAATCATAACATTCTAAGCTGGTTTTCACTTTGACAAAATTGATGATGCTCCAGTCCACCTCACTGGCTTGTTAGGAGGACTTAGGGAGATATGTTGGCATGCACAGTACAGGCCAACCACTGTTGCTCCTTTTTCTGTCTTCACTTTTGTTAAACAGATTTTGTTCTGGGGTGCCATTAGAGTGTGAAAGGTCCTTTTTCTTGGGTCTGGAGAACCAGCTCAGTGGTTAAGTGCACTGGCTGCTCTTGCGTAAGACCCAAGTTTGATTCCTAGCACCCACAAAGCCGCTAACAACCATCTTTTTTTTTTCTCTTTTTGATCTTTTTGAGACAGGGTCTCCCTGTAGCCCCAGCTGTCCTGGAACTCACTATGTAGACCAGGCTGGCCTTGAACTCACAGAGATCCGCCTGCCTCTGCCTCCCGAGTGCTAGGATTAAAGGCGTGTGCCACCATGCCTGGCCGTTAACAACCATCTTAAGTCCAGTTCCTGGGGATTCGACATCCTCTTCTGGCCTCTGCAGGCATTGCATGCATGTGGTATAGGCAAAACAGTCATACACATAAAATAAAAATCAAAAAACATTTTCTTAAAAGAAGGACTTTAAAGATCCAAGATTCTAAAATTACAATGTTAGAGCTGTGAGAGTTCTTTGAGGTTTTCTAGTTTGACCTGCCTGGAGAGGTGGTGTGCTGGATTGTCTAGTATCAACAGTGAGCTAGTAGTAGCAGAGCTGGGTCAAAACTCAGCTGCCTAGCTGTGAGTACTTAGGAGGGCTCTTCCCTTCCTTAATCCCTAGTCCTAAATCCACAGTCCTGGCCCACAGGTTTTCCAGTGCTCTCTGCCCTTTTAGTTCACAAACTCTGAAGATGTCATAAGGAAGGTGGGTGTATAGTGACCAAGGTGTTTTTATCCTTTTGTCTCTCAGCCCAGGAGTTAAAATCACTGTTTGAAAAAAAGTCCCTCAAAGAGAAGCCTGCAAGCTTGGGAAAGCAGTCTGTGCTGTCTGTACGCCTGGAGCAGTGTCCTTTGCAGCTGAACAACCCCTTTAACGAGTATTCCAAGTTTGATGGCAAGGTAAGTAGAAAAGAGGCTTTCTGTCCCTTTAATAAAACTTCAGTTGAGTTCAGTAGTTGGTATTGTTATTAATTATTATTATTAGGTTTAGGGTTTCAAAATGCCTCAGTATTATAGAATGTCACTTTTTCTTAGATACAGCTAGGTAAGAATTTGGGCACATTATTTCCATAGTAATATGTTTAGGATGATCAAAGCAAAAGTCTTGATGGCTCCTTTTTCCTTCTCTGCACTAGATATTTCAGGATATAGATGCATACATACATATTAGTACATATATTAAGGTGAATGTGGTGGTGCTCACTTATAATCCCTCCTTGCTGATGCAGGCAAGTTCAAGGCCAGTTTGGGCTGCATAGCAAGAACTTTCCTCTCCAAATCAAACCCATATATGTGTAAATGTTGGCCGAGGCAGGGTGAGAGTCAATGTGCTTTCTGTCTACCTGTTTTGTCTCCGTGCAGTCCTTATACTTGAGAGCTTGGGCTAGTTGGATTGTGATGAAGCAGTTGTCCTAGGGCAACCTTGAAAGTGGCTCTTCGAGTGGCGGTTCACATTGTCTTGTCTGATTCTTTACACGACTATAGAAATTGGTGCTCGATCCTCCTTTCAGAATTTGAGGCTGTTTCTTTGCATTTGAGTCTTTCATTTGGAGTGGGGGGATCATGTTTCATACTCAGTAGTAGAGGATGATTTTATTTTTTTTCCTGTTCTAACAGTTTGCTGTTATAAAATTAAAGTAAAATTATTTTCCGTCCAGAAAAATGGCCACTGTTTGAGGAGGAGCCTGGCTCCTGTGCTTACCCCTCCCCCATTCCCTGCTGCCTCTGCATCTCTTTGCAGAACTGAGCAGGGCTTTCTTTAGGAGACACTAACAGTTGATTTTTTAATTTATTGCCATTATGTTTGCCGCCTGGCAGTGGTGTGGGGGTGCTGAGTGATAGCTTGCTGCCTGGGAGCGCCCTGTTCAATTTATCTTATTTCAACACCATTGCAATTAATAAACAGCAGTGCTTTGCTTATGTTTGCATTTCTCCTACTCACATGCTAGTTCTGTCAGTCGTCATCTTTGAGCAAAGAGATGTTTCTTTCTTCAAAACACTTTACCTCAGTCAATCCTGCCTGTTTCCATAGGTTGGAATAGCCTGCGCAGCCATTGGCAGGTGAGGCTGTTGATGTTTGTGAGGAAGGAGAGCAAAACTAGAGACAAAATGCCTAAAGTAACAGAGCCTCGTGTGTTCCTGTCTGTCCAGAAAATATGTTCAAGAGTACTGTAGATTGTGCTGCTGTCTTGATCAGCTTGTGCTACATCCTGTCCTGTGGAATGTAGGGGAAAGAAAGAAGGTTCCCCAGGATTCTGGGGTGTCTACAGTTGGGCTACAGAGAATCTGAAGCGAATATTACACCTGATTCATTTAGAGAGATGAGGAGCTGCTTTCTGGACCAGGATGTGTGACTGGAATTGACTGCTCCCATTGCTTGGTAGAATCCCATTGTCTGAAGATGACATTGTTAGACTAATTAATGTGTGATAATGCTTCCATGCCAACAAAGTAGCTCAGACCTTTTTAAAACAGTACATTCTAGAATTTTCCTTTGACCATTAGATTGGGTTTGGATTTGTCAGAGAGTTAAGAACCTTGCATGGTGTACAGATAGCTGACTTCTCAAGTCCAAGGAGGAGAATAAAAAGCCATTTCCTCAGTCACACAGGAATGTTTCCTTAGATGTGTTACATTTAAGATGCTCTCTGCTTTGTGGTGAGTCTTTGTAATCTGTAAAGAAAGAGCGTTGATGGTTAAGAGAGATTTATATATCTATAACTCTATCTTATGATGCCTGCTCTTTTATTACTATCCTACGTATTACAATTGCTAAAATACAATTAAACCCTTGTTCTCATCTATTATTTAATATTGATGCATTTGGCAGATGTGTAATGAAAGTGGCTAATATTTGAAGGATATTGTACTGTACATATTAAATTAGTCTTTATCTTTGTGAAATGCATCAATATGATATTCAATGACATCTCAATGATTAATAGAGAATTATACTTGAGTCGAGCCTTTTTGTAACCTAGAAATTAAAATGACTATTCAAATAACACCTCAGAATGATCAAATTAGCATTTTGTGATTGCATAATAATGGGATTGCAGTAGTTCTACCAGTGCCGTGGCTGCCTCTAGAGTTAAGATCGTGTCAACCTCTGGATAATAAAGCCTTTCTGCGTGAGTCGACTTTAATAATTTCCAGATTGATTCTTCCCATAAATCATCTGACATTCAGCACTAAATTTTTGTTACTGTTGTAACTTAAAATTATTTTATTTTTATTCAGCTCATATTTAAGAAATGAAATGAGTATTGTATCTTAATGATTCACCATCTTGTTACCCAAAGTCCATGCTTTTTGCTTCAAATGTAAAGGTTTTCCATATATTTTGATACTATAATTAATGCGCATGTATGTACAGTCCTTATCCATTGGGAAATAATTTAACGCTACTTACAAGAGTCACGTTTTTTGTTTTTTTTTTTTTTTTTTGTCTTTTTGAAGCAGGGTCTCCCTGTAGCCACAGCTTCCCTGGAACTCACTATGTAGACCAGGCTGGCCTTGAACTCACAGAGATCCGCCTGCCTCTGCCTCCCTAGTGCTGGTACTACAGGTGTGCGCCACCACTCCCGACACAAAGATTTTTTTCTAAAGTCACTGAAATATATAGTTTTTTTTTTTCCTGGAAATATTCATGATGTTCTTCTTGGGAATAGTGCTTGCCTTATTTACATAATTGAGTTGCTAGGTCTCTTGGGCACACGGCTCATAATTGGGGAGAGAAGGGGACAGGAAAGAGTTTGGGGTCTAATTAAATATGCTAAAAAACTACTTAATTATGTGTTTCCTCAAGAGACTTCACTGCTAGAAAATCCTCCTTAAGATTAAACTGTGTTAGATTTGAAGAAAGGATTTGTTTGGGGTCTAGAACTGCAGTCACAGTATGGTTAAACAAGTCTGTCTAGTGTCCTTAACAGTTTACAGATGGAGTTGCTGGTTTTAGAAAGTCCCAGGGGAGTATCTCTTAGGTTTTGTGCTAAATTAAAGCAAGTATTTTCAGGTAATTTTTGGTTTCTGTAGCTGGTTAATAATTTATTAAAAAATTTATTGTGGGGGTTAATAAATTTTTAAAGCTTGGAATTAGGAGGGAAAGGCTTTTTTAGGTACTTGGGGTTTTTGCAGTTTGCAGGGGTAGAGGGGTGGGGTGTGTGTGCCAGGCTTATATTTATATTATGTCTGTGGCAAATTGATGTTGCTGTGACTTGGTTTGGGTCCATAAGATTATAAAGTTTGTTTACTAACCATTTGACAAAAGGGAACTTAAAGGGGATTTTAAGGGATGCTTTGGTCTGATGAGGCACAATCCAGCTCAGCATCTGCATGAATAACACTAATTCCTTCTCCTCCCCCTTTTCTTCTCCCCCGCCCTCGTCTTTTTGAGTTGTTTCTGAGTATTGACTCTGGGGCCTCACATGTGCTAGATAGGCACTCTACCACTGAGGTTCAGCCTCAGCTGCTGTTGAGAGAGAACCTCTGAATAACCTCATTAATAAGACAAAACCTTGCTGTAGAGGTTGAGACATCAGAAACCTCTTCCTCCAGTCCTTCTAATTTCACTCTGTATGAAATGTGAGTTGTGCTTGGATTTCTTGAAGATAATGAAGTAGGCTCTGCTGGTGAAGCGCTGGCTTAAATGCACTGTTTCTCTGTTTCAAGTAGGGTACCTTGGCCACAGCCCGATTGACTCCAAGGTCTCTTAACACATGCATGCCAAGCATGTGTTTTACCTCTGAGCTGCTTCCCCAGCCTCAGTATTGTGTATTAAGAAGTGGATCTGGGCTGGAGAGATGGCTCAGCAGTTAAGAGCACTGGCTGCTCTTGGAGAGGACCTGGGTTTGAGTGCCAGCACCCACATGATGGCTAACAACTGCCATCTTTCTGGGGAATTCAGTGCTCTCTTTTAGCCTCTGCTTGAATTGCACACTTGTGATGCACTTAAAATCATGCAGACATAACACACACATTAAAAAACAACAACAACAACAACAACAAAACAAATCCAGGGGCTGGAGAGATGGCTCAGCAGTTAAGAACAATGAATGTTCCTGCAGAAGACCCGGGTTCATATCCCAGTACCCACATGGCAGCTAACAACTGTCCGTAACTCTAGTTCCAGGGGATCTGACAGCCTCTTTTGTCCTCTGCAGGCACTGCAGGACAGGGGTGCACTTACCTACATGCAGGCAATACATGCAATACACATAAAAATAATAAATAAAATATTTTTTAAAAAATAAATAAGCCGGGCATGGTGGCACACACCTATAGTCCCAGCACTTGGGAGGCAGAGGCAGGCGGATCTCTGTGAGTTCAAGGCCAGCCTGGTCTACATAGTGAGTTCCAGGACAGCTGGGGCTACAGGGAGACCCTGTCTCAAAAAGACCAATAAATAAATAAATCCATCAAGAAGTGGATCTAACTCTTGTCTTCCTTACTTGAGAAGCTTTTGCTAGTGCAGCATCATTCTGTTCAAACTGAGTGTGTAAATATTAGACTGTCAGAAGTGCAGCTCCCCCTTCCTTGATGGGTTTGCTAAGAAGTAGTATTGATAAGTAGTAGTGCCATGTCAGTTTTTTTCTGCCTCTCTGAACCTGTTTACTTTACCTGTGGAAAGAAAAGCCATCACTAGTCTGATGTGAACATCCAGTGGGGCGATGCTGACAGAGCACCAGCACAGTGAGAGGCCTTGAAGATGCAAACTGCCCTGCTCTGTAGTAGCATGTCTCTTTGGATCCTGACTTGCTCTGTGCTCTCATAGCTAATTACTTAACCTCATGAAGCTTGGTAGGGGTTTAGGACACACTACCCTAAATCATAGCACATTGGTGTGTTGATAGACTGTAGGAATCTCTAAAGTGAGGACCCTTCCCTAGGACACAGTGACT